CAAATGTATAAATAGGTGTGGAGACAAGTGTAATTATAAAACACTAGGATCGTCGTTAACTCTATTCTACCTCCATTTTGGTTCCTTGGAGGAAGAAATATGGCTAAATAAAATAAGCTTAAAAAGTAGATACCGTGTGCATCCACATAAATAAGTGTGTATATCTATTTAATTTCACTGAAGCAAACTGCAATTCTTGAAAAAAGAATCATTTATAAATGTCGAAGCACGCTCTATTCTTGTCTTTTGTTTTAACTATGTTTCTAAGTGGATATCTCATTAGTCACGAGTAAAACACATAGGAATTTCCGGCCATGGCTTTAGACGAAGAAAAGGCACGAAATGTCCTCACATCGCCTCGTCTTATGCACCCAGCTCCCTATTGTCAAAGACAAAATCCTTGGATGCAAAAGCAAATGCAGAGAATGGAAAAATTTCTTTTAAAGTAGGTTTTCCATTGATTGCACACATGAAATTATTTGGTATCGTGAAGGCTGTGGTTGATTGCGCTAACATGGACGATGGCAAAGTAAAAGTTGGCAATTTCAAGGTCTTGTATTTACTGGCACACAATCTTTGGTGTTCCCGGTTTATCTCTTGGCGTGTTGATTATATGAGAAGCGGGTGCGTCTATAACATGAATACGTGCGTGTGAAGCACCCACGTTGAAACGTAGAAGACATTTGCTTTATTGCACACGTACATGCGGTCATCTTTGAAGGCCTTCTTTACAGCAGATGTTTCCTTCACTGCACGAAAGTCAAAAAAATTTTATGACTGTTGGGATTTGGCATCTCAATGGTGCAACTGAGAAGAATAGATTAAAAACAGTCGCCACATGGCCTTGTGTATCACCCGAATTCAAGGAGTTCGACTCACCTTTCAAGGGCTTTTGCTGTGGTTGACACAGATCCCTGTTTTGTATGACTCCCGGTGAGAGGACATTCGAATAGAGATTAACTAACGGCATTTGTGGGCCTGCAGTGTCCATTCTGACTGTGACGCATTTCATTACCAAAATGAGTAATACTTCATCCGAATTTCCATATTTATATCTATATGAAGGCATTTTAAGTGTCACTGCCTGCAAAAAGGGTTTTTTGATCATTAGCAGCTGAAATAAAGGAATACATTCCACGCACAATTAGTAAAGACAGTGAAACTGGATCTCTAAGTTCCTTCTGACAAAAATTAAAATCCTCGACGGCGAGGTAATGCAAACGGTCTCTTTAGTTGACTTAATCTCTGTTCACGGCAAACTAATTGATTAACACTGATAGGATACTAAGAAGCCTGGTTTTTATAAGAACGTGCAACACTGGCGCTTGAAGTAGTGACAGCTCCGTCGATCATGCAATGGAATCGCGTAATCCTCCAAACAAAGTGCTGCTGCTAATGTTGACGTGAATGTGTGATAAAAAAGTTTGCTTACCAACTTTTGTTAAGATGTTTCATTGCGAAAGGTGCCAGACATTGCCCTGATGCAACTGGAAAAAGAAGTAAAGTCTGATCAAACAAGCCACGCTTTTCCCCATCATC